CCGCCGTCGAGCGGCAGGGCCGCGGCGCCCCCTTGGCCGAGCCCGGCGAGCAGCTGCCCCTGGCTCGGCTCTTCTTCTCCCGCGTCGGCGAAGGGCCATCCCGACGCACGGCGAGGTAGGTCCGTTCCTCTTTTCCCCTTCTCTGATTTGCATTTCTTTTCTCTTATCCGAACCGGTGATGAGGATTAGGGTTTGTTCTAGGGTTAGGGTTCGGAATCCGACCTTCCCCTTCTCTGATTTGCATTTGAATCTTCTTTCTTTTCTTTTTGAATCTGCTTCTTTCTATGGATTCAACCGATTGGGGTAGGTTTCATTTTCTTTTCGGAGTTCATCCGAATGACTTTCCCCTTTTCCCTTTCTCCATGCGTGTTAGGGTTTGGGTTCGGTTGAACCCGATTTGTTTTGATTCAAGATCGAGATGCTAGGGTTCACTGTTCTTCCCCGAGACTGATTCCTTCCCCTTCTTCCCCTTTCCCCTTCTTCTTTTGGGATCAACCCGATTTGGGATGGGGTTAAAATTAGGGTTAGGTCTTAGGGTTCGGCCAAATCCGAACCCACTCTTCTTCTTCTTTCTACTGTTTCTCTTCCCGTTGAAGGCTTTTACGGGTTTAGGGTTAGTGAACCCCTTCTCTGTTTAGATCCGTAAGGAACTTTTTTCTTTTCTTGCCGCACCGGCACTTTTCCCCGCGCGGTGGCGGTGGTGACCGGGGTTCTAGTGACGTCTCTTTTTCGTTTCTTTTACCCGATTAGGGTTAGGGTTACACACTGGCAACCTAGCTCTGGTACCAATGTTAGTATCGTGGGTGTACCTTTCTGTGTAACCGTAGATCCGTAGTTAGGCTCCTTTGCCCTTCGGAGCTTCACCGCAGCGACGTGGACGCCGGTGCCGCGGTGTAGTCGGCGTCCTGCGCGATGAAGATGAAGTCCAGTGGCGCTGCAGTGGTGACGGTGAGGTTGATGGGCTTCCCATTGCTGGCAGCACTACTTTGATCGGTTTAGGTTTACTGTGGGTGAGATGGCGGTGGCTTTGTTGAACCTCGTAGCCCGAGCCCTGATCCCCACCTTACCTTTTATATGTGCTATGCGACAGGGGTCCACCAACCGTATTAGGATTGGGCTCCCCCGATCAGGGAGCAAAGACAAGGGCCCAATAGGCCGTTGGACCTATTGGTGGAGATCAACTAATGCTCGAAGCCTTGCCGGAAGCAGCGTGGCCCTATCCCAAAGGGGTACGAGATTTCGACATCCCCGCAGTGGGAGGGGCAGTTCGCTAGGAAGACATTTCTAGGGACACCAAGGAGCCCATCCCTGGTCGCAGCGGCAAGGACCTTGGCCGGCAGCGCTGGCGCCGCGGCGGCCAAACACATGAACACAACGCATGTGCGAGCTAGTAGCACTCCGGTCTAGCACATGGTCGTATGGGAGGTGTGTAAGGTTTGTTTAAGGTGATGGAGGTGTAAGGCTTGTTCATGAGGACAACATAATTTTATGCTGACACTGTAACAATAACTAGCTCTAGAAAAAATAACAAAAATGTCACCTTGCGTTGGGCAAGCAGTCCAGCTAGCGGTAGAGCTAGTATTAGTGGAAGGACGACCTGGACTTGGAATTTCAGGGCAATAGTCGCATCTGATGTTATGGTCGTCGCTGGGGCCAAGAAGACTAGCCGAGCGAGATGTGGAGTACGTACTCTGTAGTCCACTCTTCCTCCTGTCACTTTTATATGTATTAATGGAAACAATGATGTGTGTCCTTGTTCTCGGGTCTCCGTGCCTAAAAATGACAGAAAAGTCACGAGTTATTGAGTTACTATTACTAATTGGAAGATTCCTTCACGTTAACTATCACGCGATACGCCATGCCGATTGTCTTAAGACATGTGCTAGAAGGATAAATTCTACAAATTCTCACAAAAGTCAGAAATGTCTAGCTATTTTTATCGGTGTTGACCTGTGAAGTCTTCTCTCGAGTTACCATAAAAGATGCCAGCAATTGAGATGTTTCGTAATCTTATATCTATTTTTTATAGAAAAAATTAATAACCAAAGAAATGTACTAAGAAAACTATTGCTCGTTGAGTCTACATATATCGCAATCCTTACACAGGTACAGCTAGCGATAACGGGAAAATTTTATATCATGAAAAGACTGGATACCACCGCCAGGGCTTACATGTTCCCGCAGGCACAGGTAAGGTAGCCGTTAGCAAAAACCTCGGAAGTAATTCATTTTTATAGCTCGATTGTTCTGTAGCAAAATCTAGTGGGGCTTGCTTGACCGGCGTTATATAAGTCTTCTCACGAGTTACCATCTGTGATGTGATCTGAATCGATTTTTAAGATGTTATGTGCTTTTTGTTTAATCGGAGAGGGTCAGGTTGAAGGGGCAAGTATGTGACCTTGGTACTTTTTTCCACTCTAACGAAAAGGTAGAGCACACTGAAGAAAATATGTACTTGGACAACTTTGATTGTGCCCTATGCACAATTTGTACTGAAGAAATTCTGGAGCACCTCTACATGCACGCTCCTTTGCTAGAAGCTACTAGTAGAGCATTACCAATTTTCACTTCCCACAAGTATGCTCAAGATTTTAAGCTCTGGAATTGTTCAAAGTCCAGTTCAACATCCCATTCTTCATGGACTTCTTCATTCTTTTATGCTGGTGCATTTGGGCGGAAAGGAATAGCAAAGTGCCAGTTAAAATTTATTAAGGAATTTCCCCTGTTGCTACACAGTGTCAAACTCGGAGTCTACCTTAGGTTCATGGATGACATCTTTCCGCACACATGCACAGCTTGATCTAAGAGTATGACATCTTTCTCTTTGGATCCTTGTTTTGACTTTACAATATATGCAATGCAAGTATGTTTTCATATTCATCCCTACCTGAGCTCCACATAAGCTTTTAGAAGTAGACAAAAAGAAGGCAAAATCATCAATGCCTTGGTGAGGATCCAAAAATACCACATATACAAAGTGATTTGAGAGTACTACAAAAGGAGAAGGTAAGCTATGTTTTGTTTTCAAAAATCTTAAAATGTTTCTCCAATTGACTTGACTGACGGAAGATGGTGATCTGTTTCAAGCTGTTCCATTCTTCAATCGCCCAAAGTTTCATGGTAGACACTTTGAATCCTACGGTACATGCATAACTGGGAATTGTTTTATGTTGATGTCTTGTCCTAAGGTTATGTCTTGAGTAATCTAACCTTTTATCGAGGACGAGTAAAAGCCTAAGTGTGGGGGAGTTGTTGATGGTAGTTATCATACATATTTTATCCGTCAATTAAACATGCATAAGGGTATAAATGAATCACTAAAGTAGACTTAGGGGTTTAAACTGACAAATTCCACGAGTTTTGGTGAATCTGTGTTTCCAGCAGAATTTAATCAGAAAACCGCCAAGGAGGACCTAATCGTCAAAGAAAAATATAGAATCCCGTCGCGGTACCTGCGTGGCAAGACTCTAGAAGGATCCATAAGCCACGTCACCGAAGCGGAGCCCGAGTGGCTGACATGTGGGGCTGCCCGGCCCCACTGTCAGGCCTCCCGGCCCCTGGTGGGCCCACCTGTCAGCCAGCTTCCTACGTCGGTTTCCCACCGCCATTGAGGATGCATCTAGGCAGTTGCTTAAGTCAGTTTTATCAAGGGCTCACGTTAGACCCTCAGGGCTATATAATCCAGCCCCTGCCTCTCCCCCCAGGCATAATGCTCATTTGATCCTAAGAGCTGAGAAGTCAGGAACCCTAATTCATATGTCCACCAAGATCAGAGCTAGGAATCAAGACAAGATTAGTCCTCCATAGGATCTAGTCTAGTCCTAGAAATAGAGAGATAGAGTGTGAGGGAAGAGTTCTGGAGGAGTCTCGGCCTGTCGGTGCTCTCTCTACGGCTTGTACCTAGCGAAATCAAGTCCTTCTTAAGCTTGCTTTTGAGATTTCTTTGGTAATCGACTTCTAATTCAAGTAAGCATCTTGTTCATATCGTTCTTCAGGTTTGCGACTCTCTTTTGAGTACTTTAATCCTTGTAGCTCCTGGGTTAAAATAGTATTCGTAGTGTAAGCGTGATGCTTAGACTCGGTTACTTATAGATGTACCCTATTTTTTGGATCGGTGGTAGCTCGCGAGGGTGACTTTTATAGCCTCGTTGAATCCTCTGTAGTCTATCTTCCGCTAATAGGACTAGGAGGACAGTATTGCTATAGGAAACATACTATGTCTGTGTTTTCTCTAGTATTATCCTCAGAATTGAACAATAGAAGACAAAGCTTACCGAAGTTAGAACTAGAAGACCTTAGTAGTCTCCTCTATGCTCATATTATCTAGCCTTGATTGTGAAGTTGGGATACGTTAGATTTAGTTATTCTCACACCCGTTCCTTTGGGTTCGATATAAAACTAGGTTACTCTCGGTGAAGTGCTACATCGGTATAATATCCGTGCGCTTGTGGATTATTCTGTGTGCGTTAATTTATACCAACACGGTGTCAGGTCATACACTACTAGTTTAGAATATATTATAATTAACATCTTTAGTACCAAATAAATGCACTATCAGGATATAATTTATAGTAGATTTTAATAGAACTAATTTGATGTTAAAGATGTTTGTGCATTTTTCTACAAACTTAGTCAAAGCTAGAAAAGTTTTACTTATGATGAAACTTAAACACATTACATTTTGTAATAGAGGGAACATGTTACGTGTAAACATGGTAATGGTGTATGTTTAGGTAGTAAAATACACTCTAGAATACACTATATACATATATAGATCATCTATGTAGCACAATATCATGCGAGGGAAGAAAATGTACCATGTTCCTCACTGAAAATAGATGGTTACTATAGATGTGTTCAATACACTCTAGAATACATTGTATATACACACACATAATCTATGTGGTACAATATCATGTGGGGGGGACAAAATGCACCATAGTTCCTCACTAAAATAGATGGTTACTATAAACGTGTTCAACATCTAAGCAAACACTAAGTTAACGAGCCATACTAGATGATGCCGCAAATTCTTGCTCCAAGCTGTAGCACCCAGACATCATTGGAACTATTAAATGTGTATCATTGACAAGCACATCAATGTGTTCATGTGTGTGTTGAGTTCCTGAGCGTAACAAAGGTTCTATTTCTCCATCCTTTTCAATTAAAAGATGTGTTTTCTTCCTTAGCCTCTTTGTTCTTAGAAATTGTAATCTCATATCTACTTCTTTCATACTTGGTCTATGCCCTCCTTTGGATTTTAAGCACGCTTCTATAACTGAGGCAATATCATTAATCTCTTCTTGGTCTGCCTCTTCCATAACTTGAGAATCTATTATTTCCATGAGAGCCCCTTCCTGCAGTCCTTCAATGAAGTAATGTGCTAAGCTTTGTTTTGCGCCTGATTCATTGATAAAAATTGGCTTCTTTCTTGTCAAAAGTTCCACAAGTATCACTCCTAAACTATACACGTCACTCTTCTCAGTTAGTTGACCTGTATGATAATACTCTGGGTCTAAGTAACCAAATGTTCCTTGGACAATTGTCACCACATGTGTTTCATCAAGTGAAAGAGATCTTGAAGCACCAAAATCAGAAACCTTTACAGTGAAGTTGTCATCCAAGAGTATATTGGAAGACTTCACATCTCTATGGAAAATTGGTATTGCGGCAGCTGAGTGTAGATAAGCAAGTGCTCCTGCTGCTTCCAGTGCAATCCTAATTCGATCATCCCATGATAGCAAGCATTTTACTGCAATATTTTCATGAAGAATACCATAAAGAGTGCCATTCGATATGAATTCATAGACTAGCAAGGGTACCTCATCTTCCAGGCAACACCCAAAAAGTTTCACCACATTGCGGTGAATGATTTGAGACAAAATAGCAACCTCATTGATAAACTGATCTATCTCTGTTTGCTCCACTATTTTGGATTTTTTATGGCCACGACACGTTGATCAGACAAAATCCCTTTATAAACTGTGCCATGCCCTCCATGACCTAGAACACGAGTAGCATCAAAGTTGTTGGTTGCTTCCTCTAGTTCATCCAAAGTGAATATCTTTGTTTTGTTTGCAGTGCTTTCATCCGATATTAGTTGCTCCAAGAGCAGACCTTGATTTTTTTTGAAGTATGCTCTTCGGATTTTCCTTTGGATATCTTCTTTCCACCTACCGGTGAGTACAATCTCACCAAGTGCAAAACTTATGGATCCAAGGCCACAAGCAAGCCCAATTGCAATCCCTACATCCATTAAATGTGAATGTGAATATTTCATGTTTTTAATTTTGATAGATAAATACATGACTCACCGAGAATTAGATTACGCTGCTTAGCTGACATGACACATTTGCGTTTTTTGGATCATACTGTTTCCAACGACGGCAACTTGTACAATTGAAGCCTCCATCAAAGTTGTGGCATATTCCATTGCATTTGTTTGGAATAGCGCACTCATCAATATCTGTATCAGTAAGATGGTTATAAAGTTTGGTGATGCAAGTAAAGCATGCATGCATTTATTGTCATTTAAAGAAAAGTAATGGGATGTGTGATCATGCAGAACCGTTGGTGGTGCTTGTCAGACCCTTTATTTGTTGTGATTTGTCGAAAACAATAGTCATTGGATCTATTCTATTTATAAATAAAATCACCCCCTTTATATGTCATTAACAAATAGTCAATAACCCTACAAATCTATATCTAAGTTATCCGCTTTTGCCCGAAAAATAATATAAAGTAAACCCTAAATTTTCATACAAGTTACCCACCTCTACCATTTTGTAAGATATCATAAATTAACCTTCCACAAATTTGCATCTAATTACCTATATGTTTTATTACATAAAATAAACTAAAATAATCCCTTAAATCCATGTATACATTATCTAAATATGTTTTGTGAAAAGAGATATTGTAACCCCTAATACTCTTCTAAAATATCCATTCCTACCGCTATAGGTATATATAAAATACTACTCTAAATATCCATACATGTTATGTCCCACCATATAGACATGCACAAAGCTATATACAAGCAAACATTTCCATAGTTTAACAAGTACAAAAAAATATTTCCTTATCAACACAGTGACACTAATAATGTACTTAAATTATATTAATAATTTACAAAATTAAATTATGTGAGTTGCTACATTAGACAATTCATACATCTCAACTAAAAAATTATGACATATATACATTTATAGTCCAATTGTAAGCATTTGTTATTTAAAAAGGTATACTACTCAACACATAATCCTTAGAAAAAATTTAACATCTTAAGCGTTGAGCAGTAGGCTGAACAATTGTATATGCTATTTGAGCCATAGGCTAAACAATTGTATATGCTATTGTTGAAGGCACGTTGAACAATTGTATGTATTATTGGAGAAACCTAGAGCATCTCTAGCGGGTCCACTAAACCCAACCCTACCCTAAATGTGAGGGTTGGAAACAAAAAAAAGGTCTAGCGGTCCAACTACTCAAGCACTCAAATCTGAGAGGCCCCCAAATCCCTCCACTCACCCCTTCTCCGTAGGGTCAAGTAGGTTCCCTTACATTTTGTTTTCTATTTTTTCACCCACCACTGTCTACCTGCCCAATTCCCTCTACTCTCTCTACCCAACCAGGCTACCACCATGTGCCTTCTTCCTGACCATTGTCGCCTCAAGGTTGCAATCAAATCTAGCAACCTCAGTCCCTTCTTGACCCTTCCTCCCACCTATTGAGACCTCTCTCATGCATGTTGGTGCCAGGAGCAAATGACACATACTCAATGGTCTCAGCAACTATGTCCCATCACAAGCTAGATCTGACCCCTCTCCCTCGCTGACATACCCTCTCTAGAAAGATCTGATCGTTCTCCTTATTTTATCGTTTTCTATTCATCTCCGATGATTACCTCCTCTCCCTTCTTGGTCACTCCTCCTCCCTGCTAAGCTCGCAACCGATGTGGCACCTCCACTGATAAAAAAGCAGAGAGGAGGAAAATGTGAAAATAAAAAGGGAAAAAAGAAATGATGAGCCACTGGCAAGCGGCTTCCACACATAACAAATAAAATGAGCATTGAGATTTAGGATATTATTGGAGTAACAATACAACGAGGCCACCAGAAATCAAGGAAGTCCTCTCTCAGGCAAATAGAGGGCCTAGGCTAGAGTTATTGATAGAGATACTTAGAAAGTTCAATTTAGAACCTTCAATCCATAATTGAACCAAATATGAAAGGAACATTTTGAATAAAATGGCGCAACAATAAGCACTAGAGATTTTGATGAAGGTATGTACTCTGGGTGTCCATACCAACACAATTAGTGTCTAAGCGATTGTCCCCGATGCCTCTAGGTAATTCATTTGGCCAAATGAATTAAGGACTGTGCATTAGAAGCTAAGGGATCTAGGGCTCCTCAGACATCAGCCTGACTAAGGGTCCGAGTGGAACACTATGCGATACTTGAACAAGCTAGGAGCACAAAGGACAAAACCAAAGGATAGAGTTGATGACATCCTTAAAGGGATACAACACCCCTCTCTGCTTCACCTAGTATGGTGTACATTGGGCACAATATCAGACGGTGCAGAGTGTGCAACACACTTGTACAAACCTTGTCGCCACCCACCTAACCTCTATGGGGAAAATACTATGCCTATTTGTTGAATCCAACAAAACAACCATGGGCATCTTCCATACGATCTGACAAAGGAAAATAGCCCCCAATTGTTCTGCTTGTCAAGAAGAACATCACCCAGAACACAAGTCAGACGAGTGACACATGGGGCCGCTAGTCCAATAAGACCGCACCAAGCATGGGGAGATCACTGCCAACTCACGGTACATGTAAACCACATCCCCTTGACTATATAAACGGGGTTGGGGAGCCCAACCAGAGGCAATGAGGAGCAATCCACATAGGTTACACACAACCTCTTGTAACACATCCCTACCTACTCCAAAAATTATTTTGGGAGACTGGCCTCTTGATTAATAGAGGTGGGCATAAAGTGTTCTGATCTCCCAAAGTATCGAGTGATTTACAAAGGCAGTCAAACCATTTATAGAGGTAGAAAAAAGAAATGTCTCTATACATCTGTTTCTAGAGGCAGGCCTCTTAAAAGGACCGCCTCTAAAACTAGATAACATTTTCAAAGGATAAGAGGCCCACCTTAGGAAATAGGCCGAAAGCCTGAAAGCTAGGCCCATTACTTTGTTCGCATGTATACACACACACGCACACCAAACTTAGGGGTTGGAAGCTCCCATAACCACCTCTCTTCGTTCTCCCGTAGTCGCCTCTCTCTCATTTCTTGGCTCTCTCCTCTCACCAACGCCCCTCCACCTTCTTTGATCTGAGCACTTATGCTTGCGGCGATGGCCGGAGCTCATGACTGCCTGTGCTCCATGGTTTTGCTTGTGATTGCGGTGGCGTATGGGGCTCATGGCTATGCGGATCTAAGTGGAGGGGGCGATGATCCGCCCATGGAGGCTTGATCATGCATTGAATACAAGGATACGGGCGACAACGAGAACTTAGGAGGCGGAGGTCATGGCCATGCGGATCTAGGCAAAGTGTGCGATGGATCAAGTGCTGCCACCATATTCAAGGTATGAGTGGTGACCTCTCTCCTTCCAACCCTCAGACTCTATCTCTGTCTCCGTCACTTTCTTTGTAATGGTCTCGACAGTGGGAATTGACAACGGCGAGGATGACCTGGGGGGATGAGTGGGGAGGATGGATTAGGAGGATGGCTGGGAGGACAAGTGGGGAGAATGAGTGGGGAGGTCGATTGGGCTCATAGAGGGAAGGATGAGGCTCGACAATAGCTGTATCTATGCTTTCAATATCTGGAGATGAAGGTGACGATGAACGGTGGATCTCCACGGATGGTGGCAAGGATGCCGGGTGAGCTTGGCAACTTTGGATCTCTGAGGACGGTCGACAGGCTCAGGCGGCGAATTTCTGAGGACGACCTTGATGGATGGCCGGTGGTCTGGCAGTGGCGGATCTCCGGGCTTGGACTAAGCCCGTAGGCTGATTTTTTATTTTTCCTTCATTTTGTAGAGACGAGCATAACCACCACCTCTGTAATTACTAACTGATTGTGACCCTTAGCAGAGGCAGGTGGGTAGTCTGCCTCCAAAAATCTGTTATGCCCATCTCTAAAAAAATTGTTCTGTGATAGTGCTACCTGAACTCCAAGCACTTGGGCACAACAATAGAACTCTCCTTCCCACACTGGATGTAGGGCTCAATCACAAAAACCAATATAATACTTTGTCTCTCCCCATCAGAACTCATGTGTGACACAAAACTTTACTTGTCAGTGGGATGAAACACCGACAATTTCAATCTAAGATGAGGATACAAAAATTTGAAGCAACTAAGAGAATATTGATAAGCATTAGAGTCATGACACGCGGGATACAACCAGACCTAGCATAACTCAAGCTAAAGTTACAACTAATCACATTAAAATTCACCTAAGGTGTGATGCACATGGGAATTATGAATATGGATGGAAAAACAATTAATTGATAACTACAATGTAAACTATATAGTAAGGCTATATAGTAACTATCATGACTACTAGAGAATACAATGCAAACTATATAGTAAGGCTAAATGAGCCCGGATACATTATGGATAGTGGATGCGCCCACCATAACCAGCACTCCATCCACGTATTCCAACCGTGTGCCCCCAGGTGGCCTACGTAACCCACACCTTCTATTCTTTTAGGTTTTGACTTTTGAGCTAGTTGCAATTAGCTGCAACCAATCACAACTCAGTTGCAAGTAGGCTTAGTCCCGAATCGTAACCATTTGAGGCCCTGTTTGATCCCTTGGGCTAACAACTAGTTGCTAAACTTTATCCCTTGAGGATCTAAACATGTGGACTAATGGGTGGGCTAAAGTTTAGCCAAAGCCCCAACTAGTTGTTAGCTCACTAGTCCATAGGGTCCAACTATCAGGGGCCAAAGTTTCACCTGCCGTGGAAAACACACACCGATACTCCCACGCGTACCCTATCCACAATGCACCTTACCCATTCCCCCTTGTCCCACAGTTGTCCCTGCGGTCTCGGTGCTCTGCTATGGCCCTGCTCACCGGTCGCTGCTCCATCCGGCCCTGACGACTAGCGCCAGTCCCTCTTCTCCGGCGCGTGCGAGGCTCCGAGGCGACCCGCACCTCCTCTCCCTCTTCTCCGGTGTGCACGAGGACCCATGACACATGGCCGTTGTGTGCGAGGACGCATGGCCGGCGCTGCCCCCTACCTCGACCCGCACCTCTCCTCTTCTCCGGTTACCGCTCGCCGCCCACTCTTCTCCGACCGCTACCCGCCGCCTCCAGCAGGCCGTCCAATGCAGCCGCCACGCCTATGGCCTCCAGCCGGCCGGCCGCCGAGGCCCCCTAGCTCGCGGACGCCTCTAGCTAGATCCGGGAGAACATTGGAGAAGACGAACTCAGGGGCATAACAGACTCTGTATTGAGATGGTACTACTTATTAGCGAGTGGATCCAAATAGGGCTGGGCTAATCACTAGTTCTAGTCCATCCAAACAGACCCTAAGCCAGTCATAGCTCAGTTGTAACTAGACTCCAGTCGCGACTTGTGACTAGTTGCAACCAGGCCCCAATTGTGAGTCGTGACCAACTACAACCGGTTATAACCAATTACACCCATGAGGGATGGTGGGCTGAGTTGGTTTGTTCAGTTCGGTGGGCCAGTCCCCATTTTCTATGGCAGGTACGCCCCAAGTGTATCACAACCATAGAGAGAAAAAATAAGCAATTAGTTGGAGATCCTATCCATAACTTGTAATATTTTTGTCTCTTAAAATTTAGCATGTGTAATAGCACAATTAGATAGATTAGTATTAGAGAAACAAGAAACTTAGTGCAAATAAGTTTATATAAGAGAGAAATATAACCTGTACAACTATTTTAAAGGTATGGATTTCCTTGAAAGCCATCGGAACACTTGCAGCGGTACCCATCATGTGTTTTGCCTCGCATGACTTCTTTGCAGAAACTGTTGTCACTTATCACTACAGGAACTGCTGGCTTCCCCGAGTGCCAGTTGCACTCGGGGAAGCCTTCCCCGAGTGCAACACTCGGGGAAGAGCCTCCGGCTAATCCTCTCACAGGAAAGTCGCCTTCTCCGAGTGTCAAAAATCATGCACTCGGGGAAGCCTTTGCCGAGTGCCGTGTTGGCACTCAGGGAAGACTTGACGCCGTTGGCCGACGGCCGACGTCGTTTTTTTTTATTTTCTTCCCCGAGTGCAACACTCGGAAAAGATTTTTGAATTTTTTTTTAAATACTCTTCCCCGAGTGCCACAGCTCAGGCACTCGGGGAAGAAATTTGTTTTTTTTAAAAAAAAACCCCTCTTTCCCGAGTGCCACAGCACAGGCACTCGGGGAAGCCACCTCTAAAATTCTTTTTTTTGTTTTTTGCTTTTCCATGTAAACAACAAAGCATATATATATATCACAAACCACAAATCAACACCAATATGTCACAAACCACATTTATATATCACAAACGACCAAATTTGTCCGAAATCCACAATATATTACAAACCACACGTTCAAAAGTACACACTATTCCAAGTTCACAAGTTCAATACATAAAAACGACTCCGAAGGCGGCTCACGGCGACTGTGAGGGGTGGGACGCCCCAGCGTGCGATCCCGGCGACGGTCCAGGTGGGGATGGCCCGACGTGCGATGCCGGCGACCCTTCGACATGGTTCGACGCCGCCCCCGATTGATGCTGCAAAAAAGAGAGGAGATTGCACGTGAGTGACAAGATAAAAATGTAAGGAGTTTAAAGAAAAGTTGAAAATTTCGGCAGCACCTCCCCTGCACGGGGAGGTTTCCAAAACCTGCAAGAAAAGCGTCGGCACGAAGGCCGACAACCACATTTCCGGCACGAAGGCCGACACATCAACAAATCCGGCACGAAGGCCATCACTAGGTTTGACACTAAGCATGAGCAAAGAAAGTAAAACATCCGTACTCATACTCACCGGAGTAGACTCTAGACGATGTGGTGGTGGTGGTATGATCAGGCAACAAGAAATAAATTGAAGTGAAATAAGCACAAAACATCAAAATGCTCTGGTTAACTGAAGAAAAAACATACCCACTGATATGCAATCAGCATTGCCCATAGCACTACAGATGGAATTCCCTAGCCTGCTAAACAACTATTACGTGTCTTCAGGTCACATGTGGTACTGGAAGGAGGAATGAAAACTCAAAATAAATGCTCACCCCATGTTTCTCCATCAATGAAGCAGGGTGGAAAAAATCAGGAGATTGATCATAAAGAACTGTCGCCTTGGAATTGCAGACTAGAGAATGTGAACAGCAGTCCTTCATATATATGGAGAAAACTATGTTTAAGTTTGATCAGTCTACCTGATTCCCCAATTTTGAGCAAGCTCATGCTGCATTGCTTTTGTAACACAAAAGGCACCATCAGCCATCTGCCCAAAGTGCTTCTCAAACCTATAGAATACAGAACAATTTACTATATTAACAGATATTTTCAAGTAAAGGAACAAAATTCTGGAACACCAAGTTATATATGTTATGTTAATCTTAACAGAAGATAAACGATCAGGGTAAAATGGATTACCAGAAATATATTTTGACTATAATGTGACTTCTTCCATGTCAATCAAGCGATACATGCTACCTTGGATTCTCTCCCTCCTTTCTATGATTTCTATATTTACACAGAGTTGTTGATTTTCAGGTATATGCTAATTCATAGGCAGTACTTTATTCCTATATATGTACTCTCTTTTCCTTGATTAATCTCTCTCACTAATGAAATTATCATATGACTATCTTTATTTTTTTCAGAAAAATATACCTCTGATGAATGTAAAAAATAATAATGTATGGAGGTCTATTTGGATTACTGTATGCTCAAAATTATCTTTACTAAATAAGAGATTTGTGATGTCTGGAACTCTACAAGATCTTTGCACTCAAAGAAAAGAAATGTGTTGTATAATTTGTATCAATGATTTAGACATCTCTGCTCCTCAAACTTCTTGGCATTAGTTGCCGTGTCATTCATGGCTATCTCTTTCCCCTCCTGTATTGCATGCTTGGTGTTCTGAACATCTCGGATAGGTAACTGTAAGGACTATTCCTTCCTTCACGTCACTCCAAAATCTTTCCATGGCCAATAGATAATTTTTTGCTACTGCGGAAGCAATCAACTGCGCGCAGCAATCTGGAGAGACGGTTCGAGTGCAGCCCTGCCCAATTTAACCGAAACACTGCTAAAACAAGATGGTGGATTTAGGAGGAGCGGACCTGGTTATCGAGCGAGAGGGAGTGGTACTGCATCCGCGGGCTGCGACCGATGTCGCCCAGTACCACAACTGCCGCGCGCTTCCTCCTCTCCGTCGCCTCCGCCATCGCCGTCGCCGTCAGCCTACGGACAGGGATGGAACCGGTGAAGGACATGGGTGTACACATGCACAGCCGATTAAGTTAGGTTTTGGGTGCTCGGTTTAGCACATCAGGAAGAGAAGGGAAATGGTGTGAGCGGGAAAACCTGGCGGACGCTCGTCGTGGGCGAAGGGTCCAACGAAGACCTCCGGCTCCTGACGCAGGGCGGCGGCGGCGGCGGCGTAGCCCAGTTGTCGCAGGCAGAGAGAGAGAGAGAGAGCGCCGGCAGGGCCTGCAGGGGCTGCGGGGGCGCGCCGGCAGGGCCTGCGGGGGTGCGTGGCACGGGGGCTCCGGGGCGCGCGGCGCGGGGGGCTAGCTGCGGCAGCAGCGGGGGCGCACGGCCCGGGGGGCAAGCTGCGGCAGCAGCGGGGGGCTGCTTGGGCGCGGCGGCCGGGGGCAAGCTGCTTGCGGCGGCGGGGGGCTCTTGGGCGCGGTGGCGCTGGGCCAGCGAAAGGCAGCGGCGGCGGGTGTGGGTGTGGGGTGGCGGTTAGGTTTAGATAAGGCTTGCTGGGCTTTTTTTAAGTCTTCCCGAGTGCCTGTCCTCGGCACTTTCGGGAAAACCTCTTCCCAGTGGCAGGAAAGGCACTCGGGGAAGAATTTTTGTTTTTTTTGTTTTTTGTGCATAATTTTTTTTGTGAGGCCTTCCCACATTATTTAAAACTCCCTATTCAAATTTGGGACAATTTTGATTTTTTTGTTATATTTTGTTAGTTTTTTTCGTTTCGTTGAATTTTTTTTGCATACTTCAAATTTGAACTGCAGGTGCATGAAATAATGGAATTTGGTGATTCAAAAAATTATATTAATGATATTTGGTGTATGTTGAGGCCTTATCCAGGAACTCGCATGAAATGTCGAGCATCTTGTTGGCGTAACATGACGAACAACTTGCGAGAAAAGTGTTTTTAAATTATATAAAATCGAGCGAAGTCCGAAAATCAAACTTATGCTCTATGTAGAGGCTATGAGAAATAAATCAAGAAGGTTTCGAGCAAGTTGCGGCGTCGGATGCCTAAAACCCATAAGTTTCAGAGGCATGCGGAGATTCGGACTTCGCGTCAATTTTATATAATTTAAATACACTTTCTCCGCAAGTTGTTCGTCATGTTACGTCAACAAGATGCTCGACATTTCATGCGAGTTCCTAGATAAGGCATCAACATACACCAAATATCATTAATATAATTTTTTGAATCACCAAATTCTATTATTTCATGCACCTGCAGCTCAAATTCAAGTATGCAAAAAATTCAACGAAACGAAAAAACTAACTAACGAAATATAACAAAAAGTCAAAATTGTCCCAAATTTGAACAGCATAGCTTCAAATAAAGTGGAAGGCCTCACAAAAAAATGAAGTAAAAAAAAAAAAAACAAAAAATTTTCCCCGAGTGCCTTCCCGGCACTCGGGAAGAGATTTTTCCCGAGTGCCGTGACAGGCACTGGGAAGGCAAGCTTTTCCCGAGTGTCCTGTTCGACACTGGAAGGGCCTCTTCCCCCAGTGCCTTCCCTGGCACTCGGGGAAGAATTTTTGTTTTTTTAAGTTTTAACGGCGTGGGCGGGGTGAACCGTCGAGTAACATGTTTCTTTGCCGAGTGCCGATCTTCCCCGAGTGTTGCACTCGGGGAAGAGGGCCTTTGCCGAGTGCTGATCTTTACCGAGTGCCAGGATCTCTGCGGCACTCGAGAAAGCCTCTTTTCCCCGAGTGCAATTCTTCCCCGAGTGCAACACTCGGGGAAGATTCTCTTTCCCGAGTGCCCGATTTTTTGCACTCGGGGAAGCCAGCGACACTCGGGGAATTTTGTCTCTCCCGTAGTGTATGCACGCATATGTTGCATTATTCAACATAGCTTTCTGACAAGTTATATTTGCTATAGCCCATTTTATTACTACTTCCTCCTGAGAGAAATCAAAATTATCGTCCACAACCTCCCTAAAAGTTGGATGGAAACTTTGATATTGACCATCATAGTTAGTGATGACTACTCTCTCCATATTGTTGGAGCTTGTGTCATTCAGCATGTTTGTAACCGTCATAAGCCCATCATCGAGTGATAAATTGGTCACACGATATTGTGCGTACCGTCGATCTAGAATAGTAGTGGTGTTACTTGTGCAGTTGAGTCGTAGGTTATCATTTGCGAAACAGCCTTCTTCAATCCCAAAAGGAAATGGAATGGTTATGTTTCCACATAATCTCGTACAGTTGTCATTGGGTGCCTTTGGATTGTAATCTGCTTCATGGTACACAAAGTGAGGAATTAGGATTAATCCAAGGAAAGTAGTAAGTCATTTATTATTTTGAGACGAATAAACTAGCCAGTTTAATTAGTTCAGCAGCAAAGGCATTTGATATGTATGACAATAAATACTGCAAGTGCAGGCATCAACACATTATTTTAATCTTGAGTAACACAACAATATAATCCACATGCATGTGTGACAAAATTTGTGGGTGCTTTCAGATTGGTAATAATAGAGATAATGCAATAAATATAGAAAATGTCTACATGCGACTTTAAAATATTAAGTCATGCGAAAAAGAAGCAGAGAGAGGCACACGAACCTATGCAGCCATCTACAACATAGGGGTTGCCTCCCATTTGACCAGGGCAGAAGCAATTGTAGCCTCCTCGAGATACTGGTAGATCCTTGCAGATGCTTTCACTATTACATGCATAGGTATCCCTGTTCTCTTGGGATTGGGCACTTGCGCAGCTTGGTTGGTCCGTGATTGCAATGTCAAGTAACATATGTCGAACATTGCTTGTATTCACCCAACTTGCATAAAGATCACCTACAACGAAGTCATAGTATTCCGAAAAGATGACCTTGATACTAGAGAGCGCCTCATCTAACAGTGCAATCGTGCTATTGCGGTGGCCAAGCTTGAGAGTAAATGCTTGCCGGCCCATGTTTGCCCACCAGATGGTGCAGCAGCCAAACCCTTCACAGGCACCGTAGCCCATGTTTGCCCTCTCCATGATCTCTCTGTTATCTGTGCAAATACTCATGCAAGAACCAATGGCATCTGTCGTATTATCACCGAACATGTAGATGTCGACACCACATCCAACTACATATATACTGTTTTCATAATCAATAACAACACCAGTAGGGGCCTCCCAGGATTGAGTGTAGGTGTCCACACCTAAGCCCATGGTGATATTGTACCCAACAGCAGAAGCCAAAACATAATTGCTGCCGACATATATAGAAGTCACCTGAGTTGAGTTTCCTAGGAACAGCCTGGGAGAACCAGTTGTGTTGTCGCAGGTGAGCTCGAAGCCTTGCCGGAAGCAGCCCGGTCCTATCCCAAAGGGGTACGAGATTTTGACATCCCCACAGTAGGAGGGACAGTGCGCCAGGGAGGCATTGGTAGGGATACCAAGGTGCCCATTCCCTGTCCCCGCGGCATGGACCTTGGCCGGCGGTGCTCGCGCCACGACTGCCAAACACATGAGCACAGCACATGCGCGAGCTAGTAGGACTCCAGTGGAGCACATCGTTGTATCGGAGGTCTGCAAGGGCTTGTTTCTGGAGATGGTCAGATGGAGGATGGTGTGGTGAGTGGCGTACTGTGTCGATCTACACAGTTTTATGCTGAGACTGTAACAACTGGTAGCTCCACAAAGAACAATAAAAATCTCTCTTGCGTTGGACAAGCATTCCAGCTGGTAGCGATGGTATTAGTGTCCCATCTGATGTTACGGTCGTCGCTGGACCAAGAAGACTTGCCGAGGGAGATGTGGAGTACTCCACTGTTCCTCCTGTCTTTTTTGTATGTATTAATGGAAACAATGATGTCCTTGTTCTTGGATCTCCATGCCTAAAAATGAGAGAGAAGTCATGAGTTTAGAGTTACTATTACTAACAGGAAGATTCCTTCACGCAACTGTCACAAGATACGTCGTGTCGATTCGCTTAAGACATGTGCTAGAAAGGATAAATTCTACAAATTCTCACAAAAGTTAGAAATGTCTAGCTATTGTTATCAGTGTTGACCTGTAAAGTCTTCTCTCGAGTTATCATAAAAGATGCCAGCAACTGAGATGTTTCATAATCTTATATCTATTTTTTATAGAAAAATTAATAAACAAAGAAATGTACTAAGAAAGCTATTGCTCGTTGAGTCTACATCTATTGCAATCCTTACAGGTACAGCTAGCGATAACGGGAAGAATTTATATAATGAAAAGACTGGAAACGACCGCCACAGGCTTACATGTTCCCGCAGGCACAGGTAAGGTAGCCGTCAGCAAAAACCTCAGAAGTAATTCATTTTTATAGCTCGCTCATTCTGTAGCAAAAACTAGTGGGGCTTGCTTGATCGTCGTTATATAAGTCTTCTCACGAGTTACTATCCGTGATGAGAGCTAAATCTATTTTTAAGATGTTCTGTGTTTTTTGTTTAATCAGAGAGGGTCGGGTTGAAGGGCTAAGTACGTGACCTTGGTACTTTTTTCTATTCTAACGAAAAGGTAGAGCACACTGTAGAAAATATGTACTTGGACAACTTCGATCATGCCCTATGCACAATTTGCTCTGAAGAAATTCTGGAGCACCTCTACATGCACGCTCTTTGCTAGAAGCTCCTAGTTGAGCATTACCAATTTTCACTTCCCACAAGTTTGTGCTCAAGATTTTAAGCTCTGGAATTGTTCAAAGTCCAGTTCAACATCCCATTCTTCATGGACTTCTTCATTCTTTTATGCTGGTGCATTTGGGAGGAAAGGAATAGCAAAGTGCCAATTAAAATTTATTAAGGAATTTCCCCTGTTGCTACACAGTGTCAAACTCGGAGCCTACCTTAGGTTTATGGACGGATGCTAGACCGGTTTGTCGAGCGCTTCCTGCGGAACCCTTTAGGTCCTGAGTTCGATTCCCCTCTAGGGCGAATTTCAGGCTTGAAGGTAAAAAATCCCCTCGTCTGCCCCACGCCAAAGTACAGGTCTCTGGTCGTCCTGTCTCACGGGGATGCGGTGCCGCTGTAAATAGGTGGGCTGAGGTTTGGAGATTTTCTCGTCTGTGGTCGTCCTATCTTACAAGGATACGGTGTCGCTGTATATGGGTGGGACTAAGGTTTGGAGATTTTCTCGATCCGCGTGAGAAGATCTTCTTAATGAAATACCAGTGGAGACGTCATTCCCCCGCTTCTTGAGGTTTTTTAGAAAGGTTTTTGTAATCTTTATAATTTTTCTTTCATTTTTTTGTATCTTGAAGTCGTGGTCTCCTCGCATTGCACAGGCGGGGATAAGACTTGCCACTGACACCCTTCCCCAGACCCCGCACAGAGCGGGAGCTCTCTGTACTGGGTACGCCCTTTAACTCCTGGTCTTCCTCCCCTACTTTTCTTTCTGCTTCTTTTTATTTTTTTCTTTATAATGCTTTTCAGTTGGGTCTTTGGCTCTTTGCCCCTCCCGTTCCTTTTAAAAAAGGTACAACGCACCATTAAAAAAAGTAAAGAAAAGAGCGCATGCCATTTTGTTCAAAAAAATATCCTACTTTATGGAAAAGATGCGCCCTGTTCTTCGGCACTACTTCAGCAGTATTTTTCAGCGAACAAACAGTGTTTTCTTCTCATAACAAATAAGCACAATGTGCTTGGAATCCTTTCAAATCTAAAAGGAAAAGAAATATATACTTGGAAAGCTGTTACAACAGGATTGAGTCTACGCATGTCTCAATCCTCACAGTAGTGGTGACAAGAAAACAAATTGTCATGAGAGGCACCGTAGCAGTCATGGAAAACCTCACGATTTTTTCAGTCTGTTTCTAACCCATCTCCCGTCACACAACTTTAATTGGGGTGTTGATTTGTGAAGTCTTCTCACGATGTTGCTATGTGTGATGCGAGCAACTGAAATGTGTGCTTCAACTTCAAGCCATCTTATTAGGAATAATAAAAGATATGTACTTGGAAAGCTGTTACAACGTTGTCACACGTATAGCAATCCTGTCAGTTGGATTTAAATTTCATGACTCACAGTACGTACTGGGCAGGAAAGCGTTACCTTCACCCTTATAACTTCTCTTTTTATTTAATCTAGCTATCGATCTTACTTTTAGTTAAGTATACTAGACTATGTTACTGCATGTTTAAAATTTCAAGAGATAGAAGCACTAAAAGTCATGTGCAATATCTACAACTAAGAGCAACTTGATTCAATGGCTCCCCTCATTTTGAGTGCCTTATTTTTTGCATCTGCTGGAGCCCTTGAATTTTTTTTATAGACACAGACACATGAGACCCGTTCGTCATTCTCTTTGCCCCTTCCTTTTCTCCTTCGTGAGGTTGCTGCCCCACGCTTGCTAGTTGTGTCCCCGCCTCCTGCTCGTCGACAGCAGAGCGCTCTCCCCAGGGAGGAGGGACCCAAGCGGTGGGAGGGGCTCCCCAGCGGAGAGGAGCACATGGTTGGGAGGTGGCACACTAGAGAGGAGGCCGCCGTCGAGATCTGAAGGGGTGATCCGGAGGGGAGGGAGCTAGCCGCAGGAGGTTCGCCGGTGGGGAGGATCGGAGCTGGCCACGGGAGGTGACCACCAGCTGGGAGGAAGTTGCCGGGGGAGGGCTCTTGCGAGTACGCAGCGTGCCGAGGAAGTCACGGGGGAGGAGCTGCGATAGGTGTGTCATCGAGGAAGGAGCCGCCGGTGTGAACCGAGGTAGGGGAGTCATCGGTGTCTTCCTGCTCGACAGCACGTTGACAGGGAGAGGAAAGAGCCGGAGAGGGGACGTCGTCGGGCCACACAGGATGCACGTGGGCAGAGAAATCTCGAGCGCGAAGGAAGAGAGGGCAAAGAAACTGCCAGCAACAGTGATTTGAGGGCTTGGTTTAGGGCCCCTAGGAATGAGTGATGGGAGGGGAATTTGAGGGCCCTCTTAAATTTGAGTGCTCTAGTGTGGGCCCTGGTGGAGTGTGGTTTTTGGCTATGAGCTCTTAAGAGTAGGATGAGTACTCAAGTAGGCGCCATGCTGGAGTTACTTCGACAAAAATTACTTATCTTTGGGTCTCTCTATTCATTTTATAATACAATACACATATTAACACCCACTACCACAAACATGAAAGTTCCAAACGGTTTTGGTTTTCCTCATGGTTTTTCATGAGCCAATGGAAACTAGAAGTAACTCCTATCAAGCTAGTCCTTTCCACCAAATCCTAACTGTTTTATGGACTTTCAAGTGGGTTTCTGGCTGTCAAGACAAAACCCATCTCTGGTAGTGTACTCTATAATTTTTATTCGGTTGTTATAAACATATCAATCACTCTATATGTTTCCACCCGTACGGTTATACCCATATCAATCACTGTATATGTGCATGTTTGGTATTAATAACAGACAACAGTGCATTAGGGGCCATACCTGGATAAGTGTCAAGTATGGATACGTGTCCTACATGTGGTGAGTCTAGCATGGATACGTGTCCAACATGTGATGAGTCTAGGTGGAAAAGACTATGCAACCAAGAATTTATATCCCACAAAAAAATCGGACTTTCTAGCGCCCGAACGTCTGATCTGGACGCTAGCGTTCAGACGCTGCCCAAACTGGGAGGGAGCGAGCGGCTAGCGCGTTGGGCTCGCAAGCGAGCGCTCTAGAAATGGGCCCGCGCTGCTAGCCGCTTCTCACGCGCATTCCATGTGCAACACCCGATCTACTTTTGAGACATCCAGATGCAACGGTTGCAACATATAAAAAAGACAGATGAAACACTTGAAATAAGCGTTTGAAATACTTGCGAAAATGCCTAAAAAACATTTGAAAACCCTTGCAAAGACATGTAACATTTAGATGAAATACTTGCAAACATATATATGAAACACCTGAAAACACTTGAAAACATATGCTTGTAACATGCATGTATATACAACATCCAGATAAAACACTTGCACCATATGTCTGGAACAGATGAAATATTTGGAAACATACACTTGAAACATACGTGTATAGCTATTACAACATGTGCAACATCCCAATTTTACATTTGTAACATCGATATACAAAACCTGCAACATACCTCTGAAACACTTGAACATACTATTGCAACATACGCTAGTCAGAGAATTACACATAGGCGCAGGCCTCCCCTTCCTGCCGATGTGCGAGGTTGATGGGGGCGCAGGCGTAGACGCCTGCTTCACCTTCCGCGATGGGCGAGGTGGATGGAGGCGCAGCATGGGTTGGTGGCGTGGACCGCGGAGCAGCCAGGGCTGGGGCACGAAGTAGCCAGGGATGGGGCGCATGAGCAGCCAGAGATGGGGCGTAGGTGCGGCGCTGCCATACTGGAGAAAGGCCGTGGCAGACGGGTGCGCTGCCTGCGGCGAGCAGCCATACGCAGCTGCACGAGAAGACGAGCGACGCTGTCTTTTTTTGTGGAGATACGGAAGCGGAGTGCGGTCACGCTCTAAAGCAGCGAGCAGAGTGGGGGTGCGGGTTGTCCAGAGGGACAAACGCCGGCATCCTATCATTACCGCAAAAAAATCCTAAGGTACTTTGTAGTTACTGC